ATCACCCGTTGCGGTACAAATAAAACCTACAGGTTAACCTCTTTGTGCTTCATTTAAGTCTGAGTGAGTGCGGTCAGCAGTTGTGAACGGGTTTGACTTGTGAACTGAAACTACGACCTTCAGCAAGCTTGGCTGATACCGTCGTACACCCCACCCCCTTCTCCAAGACTAATTACCAGCCATGCCACTAATCTTGCCTGCAACTTAAATTGCAATTAAAACATAAGGACGGGCTTTAAAAGCCAGCGATGCTACTTCAAGTAGAAATGCAATACCTCTTCATCTCTGGCTCACCTTGCAAGCTTCTTAATTACCAATTCCCTTTGGCAATCGCCTTCCTCATTCAACACTACTTACTATCCGGTCCATATGACATCAAATATTTCCAGAGCCACAAAACATATTTCTTTCTTGCATGAATGCGATAATTCGCAATAATACAGAGGCAGTACAGCACTGACGTTATGTGTCAAATGTGTAGCGCAGAGCAAAGAGTTTCATCTGTAAGTATGCACCTATGCATTCCTGTGTCCCCAATTATGCTAATCAGAGATCTAGTCATTCCTGAGGCTTAATTGTGGGATGATGTGGACATTAAAGTCTCAAGTGGCTCGGTTAACAAAGAGGGAAATCCTGTTATACTGCGGTACACCCAACAGCCTTACGAGCTGATGCTGATAGCCTATCACCTGCTGGAGCAGAGCGTGACAGCACGAGAGGGAGGGAACTCAGACTCACTCCGCCCCGGGACCTGTGACATAGTTCGGGGCGCTAAAACCACCAATATATTACAGTCGACGTTGGGATTATATAGTGCTCACCCTTTGAGATTAATATCCATTTACTACAAGTGAGACAATGAGTCTTACTAGACAACTCATTTGACATTGTGTTATAGCGAATTTCGGTAAATTGAGCTGGCCTTTGACGGTGTAATAGTTAAGGGCACGCAAGGATTTATTGTGGTCAGGGATTTATTAGTCAGAGTTAGTTAATGTTCTTGTGGTTGTTTCGTTCTGCTTGTTACCTTCTGATTGTCAAGAGGTGACGATGTCAGGGGGGGGGGGGGAAGGAATGTTTGGAATACTCATCTTGAGTACGAGTTATGTGAATCATATTGAACTGCAGAGGTGATGGCTTAAGTTGAAGTCTCACATCAAATCAATAATCCTCCATGAAATAACTTTACATATTTTCCAGTTTCGTTCATCGTGTAAATTAATGTTGACCAGACCAAACACTAGAAGGTGAAGGGACGACGACGTTTCGGTCCGTCCTGGACCATTCACAATCGACTTGAGAATGGTCCAGGACGGACCGAAACGTCGTCGTCCCTTCACCTTCTAGTGTGTGGTCTGGTCAACATACTTTAGCCACGTTATTGTAACTCATCGCCTGCGCATGTAAATTAATGTCCATAAAAATATAATTATTTTCGATACAAGATTTTCAGCATGTAACATTTGTAATATTCACGTTCTAATGTGGTCACCATTTTTTTTTCCATAACATTTTTACATCAATTTCTTTTTGTATAAATTGGTGATCCTAAATCATAGTTATCAACCTTAAATGCCTTTCTTTCCCCCCCTCCCCCTCCTCCTCTCTCAACCTGTTTGTTTCGCGTCTGCCGCTGATTATACTGTGTTCGTGTTTGTTCAGTGTCACCCGTGTTTTTAATGCTTTTTTTCCGGTCGCTATATTCTGATGACTGGCGTGACCTAAGAGCCGTCAGACCAGCCTTCATACTGCGTATTTTTCGCTGACAGTACGGCCTTTCTCACGTGTATTTGCCTTCTCATAGTCTAGCGCTAGTGTTGTATATGTGTTTCACTTACAGTATTGTGGGCGTTTTCATCATTTACAGAGGTGTGACCCGAGCACACAAGGCGAGCAGAGCAGTGTTTAAGAGAAGTGGGAAAGTTATCTGTTGTGACTCGAATGTTATGAGCGTTTCATTCATAAACATGAGTTTGGCTGCTGGAGTAAAGTTAACATATGACTTGGCCAATGTTTATGAGGACGGGCTGTCGGGTCGTGGAAAAGTCCAATTCGCGAAGATAAATTGCAACCCGTCTGAGTTGTGAACTCTCCGAATCGTGGACAGTGTGAGAACTGAATCATCTGCTTCGTGACGCTTAGACAAAGGCAGATATATGCATAAATTAATTTTCTGTCCTTTGCTTTACACTTACTGTTAATAAGAAAAGCAAACTCAATCACCTTAGAACTCTTACTTATCCTTCAATTAAGAGCCAAAACATCATAATTACTTCAGCTCTTAGTTTAAGTAAGAACCTGTGGAAAGGTAAGGTAACTATCAGGAGAAAACACTACGCCATTACGACTATATTGCTGTTGGAATCTACGGAAAATCACCTGCAGTTAACTATCCAGAGAGGGGAAATACGTAATCAAATGTACACGTAAACACTCCATCCAGCGCCAATCAACTACCAAGAAGTGGACGTAAACGCAGATTAAATTGGAAAGACCGTCTAAGAAATCGTCCGTAACTACCTGGGACAGAGATGCTGCCGGTTCCAGGCCAACAATGCACAAAGCACTTGGAGATCAACAGCTCGTAACGGGAACAGGATCCGGGACTCTCGGTTTTGAGGCAAGAGCGTAAATAGACTTCTGCACTACAGAACCCATACTGTAGGATATTCTACGGGAAGCTGTCCGAAAAAAACACTGTGCAACACTGTGCCACACTATGCAACACTGTGCCACACTGTGCCACACTGTGCAACACTGTGCAACATAAATATTAAGCTTATTTTAGAACATACAGTCAGCATAGAGCCCAAACTCCTGATAACGGAAATAAGGCTTCAAAAACATCTGGATTATGCCTCTAAGACAGTCGTATGTGGAGACAGAATCACCAGAGGCAGTGAGAGGTAGAACAAAAACAAAAAATACAAAAAAGGATCAGTAAGAGCATGACTTCGAAGGACAAATGCACAGATGAATCTACGAGATAGACAGACGCTTCTGCAAGGTAGAGAAAAGCATCTACGAGGTAGACAGAAGCATCTACGAGAGAGACAGAAGCCTCTACGAGGTCGGTAGAACGAGATAAACATGCAAGGGAGGCTAGAAAAAAAGATAACATAAATAATTCCGTTGACACGTAGTTAAAATTAAGGAACTCAACGTAAGGATAGCGACGAAGCTCGCTATCAACGAGAGAGTGACGTAGTGGAAGCGGACTCCGTTCGTGGATACATAGGTGTTATGACTCAATCCAGTAGAAGAGGGAATAGAGGATTGAAAGTTACTAACGAAGCTGAGAGCTGAAGCTCAATTGCCTAACGCACAATTAAGTTGGTTGAACACGCGCGCGCACATTCAATAGATGACCAGATTCTATAACCATGCGACAAAAATTTGACGGTGATTTTTTTTAGCTTATTCTCTACCATAGACGTAGCCACACATTTATACAATGCTAATCAGCCTTTATGCCTTTTCTTCTGTCCTCCTTAAACTGGGAAGATTGTAAGGAAAGCCTTTGACAGTGCCACGTAAGAGACGAGGAAAGTTGAAGAACCTGGCAGGAGTAACAGGGAAGATTCTCTAGTGGATAAGAGAGTACCAAACCTACAGGAGACAGCGAGTCATTGTGAGGGGGAAGGTGTGAACTGGGAGGAAGACCACAGATTGGCGAAATGTCATCACCACAGTCTCACAGGCTCCAATTCTCTCATCTTATCATGTTTCTCAGAAAGGTAAATGATCATCCAGAGGGAATAAATAGTCTTATCCCTCTCAATGTTTGCTGAAGATGCAAAAAATTATGAGAAGGATTATGGCAGACGAAGACAGTATGAGGTCAGATGATGACCTGCACACTGAAAGAGTGGTCCAACATACGGCTACTGGAATTTAACAAGTGTAAAGTAATGAAATTAGTTGTAGGGCGCAGGAAGCTGGACAATAGATTCCACATAGGAGATGAAATCCTTCATAAAATGGATAGAGAGAAGATTGTAAAGGCTTGATATCAAACCTGTCTCCTGAAGCCCACATCAAGAGAATATCATCAGAGGATAGCTAACATCAAAACTGTCTATAAAATTTGTGTAAGGTCAAGCACAAGACAATGTTGTGAAGGTTCAGAGGTATGCAACATACTAGTTCCAGCACTACGAGGTATGAGTTACAAGGAAAAACAATATGAATTGAACGTCACGTCGCTGCAAGACAAAAAAGTTGGGCAGACATGATTACCACATACACAATTCTCAGGGGAATTGGCATGGTGGATAAAAACTGAGTATTTTGTTACGGGAGGAACTCCCATAAGGAGATTTAAATGAACACTCAGTGTTCTAACGAGGTACAAAGACGTTAGAAAAAAATTGTTGTCGTCAGAGTAGTGAATAAATGAATGTGATGTGGTAGAGGCCGACTTTATACATCGTTTCAAATGTATGAAGCCCAGTAGGCCAAGAGACCTGTATGAAGGATGATTGACAGTTGAGAGTCGAAACTCAACCCCCACAAGCACAATAAGGTGAGTACACGCACAACAAGACACAGGGACACGAACCAGGACACAGGGACACACACACCAGGACACAGGGACACACACACCAGGACACAGGGACACACACCAGGACACAGGGACACACACCAGGACACAGGGACACACACCAGGACACAGGAACACACGCACCAGGACACAGGGACACACACCAGGACACACATACCAGGACACAGGGACACACCAGAACACAGGGACACACACCAGGACACAGGGACACACCAGGACACAGGGACACACACACCAGGATACAGGGACACACACCAGAACACAGGGACACACACCAGGACACAGGGACACACACCAGGACACAGGGACACACACACCAGGATACAGGGACAGACACACACCAGGACACACCCTGCTCCATGGAGCGGTCACAACAAGATGACCGCGGCCGCGTGCGGTAAATCTTGAAATAAAGATAAACTGATACATCGTTTAATTAGAAGGCGGAGTGAGGTGACGGTTGCAAGGTGCAAGGTGCCGGCCGGCGGTTCCTTTGGTGAGGCGCACGTCTCCCCCTGGGGCGAGGCGCGGGCAGTGAGGGGGCGAGGCGCGGGCAGTGAGGGGCGAGGCGCGGGAAGTGAAGGGCGAGGCGCGGGTAGTGAACGGCGAGGCGCGGGTAGTGAGGGGCGAGGCGCGGGTAGTGAGGGGCGAGGCGCGGGTAGTGAAGGGACGAGGCGCGGGCAGTGAGGGGCGAGGCGCGGGCAGTAAGCGGCGAGGCGCGGGTAGTGAGGGGCGAGGCGCGGGCAGTAATCGGCGAGGCGCGGGTAGTGAGCGGCGAGGCGCGGGCAGTAAGCGGCGAGGCGCGGGTAGTGAGGGGCGAGGCGCGGGCAGTAATCGGCGAGGCGCGGGCAGTGAGGGGCGAGGCGCGGGCAGTTAGCGGCGAGGCGCGGGCAGTAAGCGGCGAGGCGCGGGCAGTGAGCGGCGAGGCGCGGGCAGTGAGCGGCGAGGCGCGGGCAGTTAGCGGCGAGGCGCGGGCAGTGAGCGGCGAGGCGCGGGCAGTGAGGGGCGAGGCGCGGGCAGTAAGCGGCGAGGCGCGGGTAGTGAGGGGCGAGGCGCGGGCAGTGAGGGGCGAGGCGCGGGCAGTGAGCGGCGAGGCGCGGGCAGTGAGCGGCGAGGCGCGGGCAGTGAGCGGCGAGGCGCGGGCAGTGAGCGGCGAGGCGCGGGCAGTGAGCGGCGAGGCGCGGGCAGTGAGGGGCGAGGCGCGGGCAGTTAGCGGCGAGGCGCGGGCAGTAAGCGGCGAGGCGCGGGCAGTGAGCGGCGAGGCGCGGGCAGTAAGCGGCGAGGCGCGGGCAGTAATCGGCGAGCCACAGAACTGAAACAATAACCAACAATCAAAACAAAAAAAGATTCATAAAAGTCGCCGGAATAAGAGAGGAAATATCGGTTTTATACACACACAAAAAAGGTACTTTTTAATGCCTGATAATGTGGCCCTGAACGAACCATCGTAGTCCGAGTAGAAGATTGCGATAATTTTGTTGAAAAAAGTATGAAAGCTTGAACGTAGACTTCTGAAATTAACTCAAGTTAAAAAAAAAACATTCGCTCAATTAAAGATGGGCCATTTAGGTAGGTTTCTATAGCTGTAATCAAGGATAAAAGCCCTTCAATGATCAGAAAAGATTATAGAGACCCTTGAACTTAACGGCAAATGAGTAAAGAAATAGAGGAATGTTAAAACTAATTATATATGACGAAAAAAATTGGTGAAATAGGCCAATTCAAGCACAAATTATCTAAGTAAAATTTGATAATTCGCTACATTAAACAGTCAGATAATCACAAGGCAACTGTTGACATATGGTATTAATATAAAGTAACGTCTTTTGCCTAACAATAACAATAGTGAAGATTATTCTGCCATTAATACAGCTGTTAATAATAGTCTTTGAGAAAGTTAAACATTTAAAAAGGCTCTCATATTGTTAATATATTTCGGCAAACTTAACACGGCAAAGCAAGAACCAGTGAAGATCACGAATTTAACATGCAAATCAAGAACCCCTGAAAATCACGAATTTAACATGCAAAGCAAGAACTAGTGATGATAACGAATTTAACACGCAAAGCAAGAACCCCTGAAGATCACGAATTTAACACGGCAAAGCAAGAACCCCTGAAGATCACGAATTTAACACAGCAAAGCAAGAACCCCTGAAGATCACGAATTTAACATGCAAAGCAAGAACCAGTGAAGATCACGAATTTAACACGGCAAAGCAAGAACCAGTGAAGATCACGAATTTAATACAGCAAAGCAAGAACCCCTGAAGATCACGAATTTAACACGGCAAAGCACAAGAAGACTAAACCACTAACTAAAAAAAAATGAACAGGAAAGCCACCTAGCGTTTTCGTGGCAATTCCTTTATGTAACTTCAGGAGCCGAGTGAGATAACAGGTACCATTAACCCATTAATATTTGTAATAAAGTCAGTGAAAAAAAAGTGGATCAATAAGGAATCATGGGTAAACAGCACTCGAGTCAAAATGCTAATAGAGACATTTGAAATTTATTCAAGTGCTCATTTCTGAACAAAATTGTATTGTCAGATCTGCAGTCTGCATACAATCTATGAGACTGGCGTTGCTTGGGGTATTAAAGACTATGGAGAGCACTATCTCTCTTGTATAATGCTCAGTTTAACTTTGCACTAAAAAGTAATTTGCTTCAGGCAAAAGCGCTCGTTGCTTTGGAATAAACCAATCAGGATATTGTTTGATAAGAATGTCGAGGAATGCTACGTCTCAAGCAACCATGTATATATATAAGAAAATAAGCCCAACAGACCTATTCGAGGTAGGTCCTATTTACGTCCAGTTAATTATACTAATGCTAGTTCTTAAACTTATTAAGGTATTTGATTAAATGATGCAACTTGACAGTTTATTTCGTTCTTCTATGACTCTATTACTGAATCGATTTTTATATATATATCCTTTGTAAAGCTAAATTTATCCAATTAGAATCCAGCGTTGCGAGTTATATCTTGATTTCATGGTTTCGACGCCTTGTGTTTATGCTTTTGTTTATTGCTTTCAGCCATTTTTATACTTCCAGCTTATCTCAGCCTTTTTTTTATGCATGTAAAGAGGCTGTAACCTCAATCGCCTCAATTTTTCCTGGCAAGAATTAGTCTTGATACTGTAGGTATGAATTTGCCATTCTTCATTTTGCAGCGGGAAGAAAATTTCTGTATATTCTGAATAGAAGTGTCCTTAACTGTAGAGTATTATCCAAGTGAGGGCACTAGTACAGTGTATCCTGTGTTACAACTAGGTACCATTACTATTTAACATTACTAGGTAACAAAACCATTACATATAGTGTTACTCTCAGCCCTGCCCTTGCCTCACCGCCCTCTATCGCCTGCCGTGGGAGATGTAGGGGGCGGGAGCAGAGGTGAGAAGGAAGGAACTATCAGGGGGGGAAAGCGCCAAGCCATTACGACTATATAGCACATGGAAGGGGTCAGGATAAGGATTTGGGATGGGACGGGAGGCAGGAATGGTGTCTAACCACTTGGACGGTCGGGGATTGAACGCCGACCTGCATGAAGCGAGACCGTCGCTCTACCGTCCAGCCCAAGTGGTTAGAGTATAGTTTAGTTCATTATTATGCATCCAATACCCATCGTGTGAGAGGTAGGGGGGGGGAAAGGGATATAAAGAGGCATAGCAAGATCTGAAATTGGATACTAAAAGCCACAAGGGCCGTGATGCGGGTTCGAGCCTACGTCCAAGAGGATTCAAGACGCACCTTAATCGACTGTGCTACGGCATGATCCGTGTGTGTGTGTGTGTGTGTGTGTGTGTGTGTGTGTGTGTGTGTGTGTGTGTTTCTGTTTATATCGGAATATGTACATGAGAGGTCCGTTTTAGGTTCATCGAGCAAATATTATCCTCTTCCACTTACCACATGACGAGTTTCTTATAATGAATATATAACAACAAAATACACGAGATGGATTAAATGGCAAAATTATTCCATTTTCCAAATCCGAATTTTGTCCTGAAAATACATTCAAGAATTCCTTACATGAATACTGAAGAGTATAGTTAAGAATCAACATTGTTGAAACGTAAACAAACGTGAATAGGAACACTTAGAAGACGAACAAACATCTATAATTTCCCCCCTCACGATGCAACGTAAGATATATTGAAGCAGGGAAAGACAGGTTTGTAAGGAGTGATGCTGGATTATAGAGACCAGCATCTTGGGTACAGAACAATGCAGGGAACACCAAGCTTGAGATCTACTTAATACTTCACTAGGAACCATTAATTTCTGCTTTGCCCTGAATGTTAAAGTTGTATTTAGTCTCAGACCACAAATTATTGCTTTCAATTAGTTAGGAGTATAACAATTTGCCTTTAAACGTAAACAATATTTAATGCTTGATTAACAATATGTATATAGCAATGACTAACGATATAAATTTTCAACGAAAACAGTCGTTAATGATTATGAATAATTAAATAAAATTAATTATAACACAAGACGCCCAAGCCTTAAACAGTTTCAGGCTGCCTTTGGCTCTTCTTAAGAACCTTATATTCCATCAGCGATCATTCATGCTGACCGCATGAACGCATTGGCATACTCTGGCATTCAGCTTCATCGTGTAAATTATATTCAAAATATTTGTTTTCCAAACAAGAAAAAATTACATATAATTTCACTGAATAAATCTATTTTCTTGGGTCAGGCTTCAGAGAGCTGAAACTCTTTGTCTGCAATTGCATTTCTGAACACTGGAACTATTCATAATACATTATAGCGTGACAAGCAAGGTAAGGTAAGTATCTGGAGAGAGCCCTCAGTTAATAGGACTAAACAGCACACGGAAGAAGGAGATGGAATATGAGGAAAGTAGAGGAACAGGCCCAACCACTTTGACAATCAGGGATTGAGCGCATACCAAGCAAGAGCAATACTCTCTCACTGTATCAGCAACTCTAGCATGGATGGATGGATGGGAGTGAATGAGTGAATGAGAGAGAGAGAGAGAGAGAGAGAGAGAGAGAGAGAGAGAGAGAGAGAGAGAGAGAGAGAGAGAGAGAGAGAGAGAGAGAGAGAGAGAGAGTAAATCTGCATCAATTGTGGCAAACCTGTTGTACTGCGCATCATCAAAAGCAAAAAAAACATGTACGATTTGGCTCTAAGAACAATACGAGATACAAATAACAACATTACTTAATTCATAGATTTTTAAATACATTTTAATACACATAACTCAAACCTGTAACCGGAGATTTAAAGAAACCACGAGATCGGGTTATGCCAGACCCGATTGGAACAGCTTATACAAGCAAGCCATCAAAACGTAATAACATATGACCTTTGTTACATATATGGCAAAAATATAAAGTTGAGCAACAAGACCAATCTCTTAATGAGCTCAAATAAAGGAAAAAAGGTTAGGAAAGCTATACCTCACACTACTTAAAAAGAGAGATAGAACAGGATCACCGTGATGCCCCTGTTACCTAGCAGTAATTAGGTACCTGGGTGTTAGACAGCTGTTATGAGGGCTTTCCTGTGTGTGTGTGTGTGTGTATGTGTGTGTGTGTGTGTGTGTGTGTGTGTGTGTGTGTGTGTGTGTGTGTGTGTGTGTGTGTGCGCGCGCGCGCGTATGTGTGTGTGAAAAAAAAATGATTGACAGTTGAGAGGCGGGCCGAAAGAGCGGAGCTCAACCCCCGCAAGCACAACTAGGTGAATACAACTAGGGCGAATACACAACTACAGCTGTATTTCTCACTACACTTACTAATTTTAAATTCTTTTCAAGCTCCGGCCAACAGCACACACACAAATTTACCTTTAACCGTAGTCTGATATTAGCCTTAAGACTGAGCGTATTTCCACATGGAGGCAAGCAACCTCCAGACCTGGCCATCATATTTGCTCCACCAGCTGGGTAATTATGGAGAAATAAACTTACTCTCTGTGTAATCCACCCGAGATGATGAGGCAAGCACTTAGTAGAGTAGAGGCCAATAATCAAGGTTAAGAACTACGATTCTTAATATATATATATATATATATATATATATATATATATATATATATATATATGTGTGTGTGTGTGTGTGTGTGTGTGTGTGTGTGTGTGTGTGTGTGTGTGTGTGTGGGTGTGTGTGTGTTAACCCTTTCAGTCAAATTCAATAACAACGAAATTTTAAATGGTAAAAAATAAGAATAAATTCTTATTCAGTTTCATTTATTTGTATACATTAAAATATAAATTAAACTGAAAAAAGGCCTAATGACCCTTAGAAGTTTCCTCCTATTAATATCCCCCAAATATCCATTTATAGATATATCTGGCCTACGGTTGAAACAACACAGCAATCCCGCTTCTATTGTTTTCCGGAAATTTTGTTCCATATATCAGAAACCAGTGTTTACCTAGTCATTCATTATTCTGAATCATTCCAGTTTATATCCGAGGTACCATATATATATATATATATATATATGTATATATATATATATATATACACGTTTCTATATATGTCTAACATTCACACTGCAGAGAAAACCAGTTTTTTATAAATATCGGTTCTGCTAGTGTATGGGGTTTGTAAGAAAATGAGTCTACTTTTTATTCTTGCGAATTCTTACTTACATGTGCTTGCGGGTAGGAAGAATTAACTCTTGCTGCCCCGCTCCTCAATTATGGGAATCTACTCTCAAATTCATATTACGCAAGTGTAATTACATTTAACATTTCGGATTAAAGTGGACTCAACAACTCCAGCCTTCACTTCATTTCCAGAGTTCAAGACTCATAATCATGAGGAGTTTGCCTATTGTCTCTGAGTTACTATTGAAAGGATTGAACTAAATGTTGACTGTTACGTAATGGTATCGAACCATCGTGTTTTGTATCATTCTTGCTCAAAAACTGCGAATTAAGTAATTTAAGGTTGTTGAATAATGCAACAGATAATCGGGTATGCAGGTAACGAGTCACAATAACGGAGCTGAAGACATGGTGACCAAACCATGAATCAGAATATGAAAAAACGACGTAGTTACGATTTGCCCTGAACCATTATCAAGTCGTGTAAAGGGGGGAAAAAAATATCTCTTCCACATTCATATTGTTCACTCGCCTTTCAACAGAAACATTATCATATGCTCTCTGACAATCTATACAAATTCAGTCCACAGAGCCGACTTTTTTTCCCCTCTTATGATATCGTTACAATAAGACAGGAAAATCAATAAGAGATTCAGTCAAGTTTGTGAGACATGATCTTTCCCTTTCCACGCCCGTACTGCCGTTCTCTTTCAAAGTTTTATCGTCGCTAAGTGATTTATTGCTCTCAAAATGATTGTTTTCTCAAGTACTTCACTCGTAATACTTGCTTGGCAACTATGACCTCTACAACACCTTACCTTGCCTTGAGGTGCTTCCGGGGCTAAGCGTCCCCGCGGCCTGGTCGTCGACCAGGCCTCCTGGTTGCTGGACTGATCAACCAGGATGTTGGTTGAACACACACTATGGTTCCTAAGAACTTATTTACATGTTAAAGTCTATAATTCGTACATCATGGTTCTTTCTGCTCGTATTTCTACTTAGACATATACTATTTTCACAAAATTTAGAAATTTTTCGCAATAATTTTTGAGAGCACTTGACTTGATAGTGCAAGTGTTTATGATGTGAGCAACGTGAGGTCGGCCAGTGTAGTACACACTTTTTTCTTCGGTCATCAAAGGTAAGTTTCGCTCGGCCTGGCTAGTACCTAAATGGGTGATCCCCCGGACCACCAGACACTCTTGACGTGTAATGTGCAGATCTTATCGCCTTGTCTCCTTAACAGGACTTCTCGATAAAGGCTGTGGCCTTGGTCCCCCAGACACCATCTTCCAGGCAACTGTAAGAATCTTGTATTTCCATGTTTTGCCAAGCAACTATTGAGCGAGATACATTTAACGCGCGCATACACGCGCGCATACACGCGCGCGCGCGCGCACACACACACACACACACACACACACACACACACACACACTAAGGTCCTCCTCGTAGCCTGGTGGATAGCGCGCAGGACTCGTAATTCTGTGGCGCGGGTTCGACTCCCGCACGAGGCAGAAACAAATGGGCAAAGTATATATATATATATATATATATATATATATATATTATATATATATATATATATATATATATATATATATAGCGATATGTTATACACTTCTTGTTTATTAAAAAGCCAAAAGTTTACAAACCTTGTGTATACCTGCCGGAGAGCATTACCCGGACACCAATATAAGTATGGTGACACTAAGGGCTTGGGGGGTGCTACAATTCGCGAAAGTTAACCGCTATAGTTTGCTCTTATTGTGCATTAATTAGATCATAATCAATTTATATTATCACCTTATATATTTTTTCTCCTAAATGTGAGCTGAACGATAGAGCGACGATCTCGTTTTATGCATGTCGGCGTTCAGTTTCCAACCGTCTAAGTGACTGGGCACCATTCCTTTCTCCTCCCCCCCCCCCTTCCCCTCGTCCCATCACAAATCATTATCCTGTCCGCTTCCAAGTGCTATGTAGTCGTAATGTCTTGACGTTTTCTTCTGATAATTCTCTCTATGTCATAAATGCGACACAAATGGTTAATGAGACAGATTCATTATACATATTCCACTTTCCGTCTCACTCAGAATTTGATATGTAACTGATGATGAAGTCAAATTCATATGAGGATATTACAATTCTGTTTCACCATATTTTGAACCTTTTAATAGCATCAGTTGTTAATATCCAGGAACAGTATTACAATGTACTCTATGTACTCTTCAGCAACAGGTTCCTATTTTGTGATCCAAGTGCCTGTTGACGAAGGCGGGTGGTATGCAGGGAAGAGGGTCTGTGATGAGCTGAATAGACTCTAATATATAAAAATGTAGTTATTATTACGTGGTCACCCAACAGCGGTACAGCTAGACAAGAACACTACTGCAATACAACATAAACACGGCCTAGTAACATCAACAGCATCAGGCAACCACAGCAACAACAGACAGGCAGCCCGGACATGCACAGTCAACTATAAAACAGTCAAACAACACGAAGAACGCCTTAATGGCCAGTCAGAACCCACAACAAACTACGAAATCAAAGGAACACAAACCTTAGACAAAAAAATGATCTACACACACATTCAAGCACCACATATGTAGCCCCAGAAGCTCGTTCAGAAGACAGCGGGTGGAGGGCCTTCTTGGGCGCCAGCAAGGCCGAGCGACCACCATTAAAAAAACATATTTAATGCAAGACTTGCATCTCAGTCGCCACGAGCCACACGCTCACCAGGGAGAGATAAATGTCATCCACTCGTGTACCTGTGACAGGATGGGGAGGTGGGGGTTAGGAGGGGAGGAAGGGGCTGGCAGGTAGGTAAAGCCAGGGATGGGAGGGAGGCAGGGAGGGGTGAGGCAGGGAAGGGGGAGGTAGGGAGAGGAAGAAATGAAGAGAGAGGGGAAGAAGAAGGGGAGTGGGGGGGGGGTGGAGAGACAGGCATAAAAGAGGTGTGTTAGGGAAGGAAAGAGGCAAGGAGGAGGAGGAGGAAGGGTGTAGTAGGGAAAAAGAGCCAGGGAGAGAGGTGAGGCAAGTAGAGAAAGAGGCAAGAAGTGCAAGAATAAGGCAGGAAGGGGGGTAAAAACGGGTAGGAAAGGAAGGGGTGGAAGTTGGAGGAGGAGGCAGAGAGAAAGAAGCAAGAAGAACGAGAAGCAGGGAGTGGGAAGGCACAGAGTGCGTGAGGGAAATAAAAAAAGGAAGGAAAGAGTAAAGGGAAAATTTGAGAAGGGATGGAAGACTGTAGATGCGAGACAGAGGCAGAGAAAGAGAGAGAGAGAGAGAGAGAGAGAGAGAGAGTGAGAGAGAGAGAGAGAGAGAGAGAGAGAGAGAGAGAGAGAGAGAGAGAGAGAGAGAGAGAGAGAGAGAGAGAGAGAGAGAGAGAAGGGAGTGGGAGGGAGAAAACGTACTCCTGAAATACGTCCTCAGTGAAGCAGAACCTGAATGGCACTCAAGTGGTGCCAACAAACTGGTGTCAATATACCACAGGGCAGTGTGCTTGGCCCCTTCCTATATAACGTATATCTCAACGACCTCGTACATCGCATTCATGAAGCTCAAGCCTGAGCTGACGACTGCCTTCTAATCTTTATACATGAAAAAATAATAAATGACAACTGCTACGAGGTTCATTAATTATCAACTTCCAGCAACATACACCTGGGAAAGACGATGACAGGTCGCACTTGCGGCTGAGGAATCACTTGCAATGATTCTAAGGAGACAACAAAATATTGCAACTTGGACACACACACACACAAATGACTACCAAATACCTAGTGTTGAATGAAGAAGTTGACATACTGGGAATGACGTTTAACTCGTTAATGACTATGGAAAGACATTGATTCAACCTAGCAAGAAAGGCCTCCAAAAAACTCTGTCCCATGACGCATCTCACGCCGTCTAGACAGCAAAAGTTGCAAGACTTCTGCTGTCTAGACGGCAGAGACTTATATGAAGCACAAGTTCGCTCTCATCTTGAGTATGCACGACTCTCCTGGACTGCCTGGTTCCCCCATCATTTATATCAATTTTGGATAATTTGGAGGGGGGAGGGTATTATTAAGGGAAAACGCCAAGCCATTACGACTATATAGCACTTGGAAGGGGTTCAGGATAAGGATTTGGGATGGGACGGGGGTTAAGAATGGTGCCCAACCACTTGGACGGTCGGGGATTGAACGCCAACCTACAAGAAGCGAGACCGTCGCTCTACCGTCCAGTTCAAGTGATGGGGTGGATAATTTGGACAAAAGTGCGAGAAGGCTTATCTCTAGCTCGTACCTAGTTGCACTCGTCAG